ATGAGAGCATGGAAAATATCAGGATGTTTTGACTTTCAGGATGTTTATCATGGTTCTTCGTTGAGTGGGTCGGTAAGGTTTACTCAACGGATGGTCGGTCGTGATGAATGTTCTGAACGTCAGAACATTTTGATTTTCATATTTTTGATTATAAATGTGAATAAAATATGAATAATAATAAATGAGACGAAAATTTAGAATCAAGATTTGAGAATAATGATATATTATAAATTATGTTATTTAAAATATTAAAAAGAAGATTTATATTATTTAATGGTTTTTTTTTGAATTTGTGATATTGTATGTATTAATTAATTTAATAATATAGCATAAATAACGTTATTGATCTTAAATTTTTATCTTAAATTTTCGTCTACCTATCATTATTCACATAATATAAGTTTGGGTGGTGTTATAAAGACAATTTTTTTATATCACATTTTGATATAACTTTCATAAGTCATTAAATAAGTAGATACGTTCAATATTAGAAGTCTCATATGAATTAAAAAATTAATAATTTAAATGGCATGTCAAGTTGTGTCAAAATGTGGTATAAAAAAGTTGTCATAAAAGGTGGTATAAAAAAATTATCTCAAAAGGTAGTACAAAAAATTTATCACTAAACTAACAATTTATTGGTTCGAGTGAAAGAAGTTTAGTTTCTCTAAGTAAGATTTCGAATTCGAGTCATATGAATAAAAAAATAAGTGCTGAGGGAGCTTCCTCTCATATGGATCCGACTTGACTCAATTCTAGATTAGTCCGGGTGTTTTTGGATACCAAGAGAGTAATATCAAAAAAAAAATTTATCTCAAAATTATTAACTTATAAAATTTATACGTGTAAAAGAATAGGAGAAAATCCATCTTTCCTTAATGAAAGGTTTAAAGGTTGTATTAAAGATATTAAAATAATTTTATAAGTAGTCTAAAATTTTTTATTAAAAAAAATCAGTAGCTTCGTAATGAAAAAAGTTTAAGAGTTTTTTTAAGAATATTTAAATAATTTTATAAATAATCTTAAATCTTTTTATATTATACTCTCTTTATTCATTTAAAAAAAAATCAAAATAAGAATTTTTTTTAATCTTGATTATACAATAAAAAACAATCATTTTTCATTATTTATTTCACTTTACTTATATATTATACAATTCAAACTTAAAACCTCTTATTTTCAGTAAAAAAAAATTATTACTAAATTATTTATACTATTAACTATCAAAGAAGATTATTAAAAATGAATTAAGGTGTAGTATTTTTAAATTCAATGATTTAAAATGCTAGTGCTAGAAGACCCATGTTTCACTGCTTTCTTATAGGATAAGATTCTAAAACATCATTTATATTTATCTCTGCATTTTTTTTTTGTGTCTTTTGAAAAAAATTCAACACTTGATTATTGTTAGGACATTCAATGAATGTGGGTGCTAAATTGCTGGCATATGGTGCAAAATAAATGGTTCTTTTGGCACTTCTAACTCATGAGGAGAAGAGCTGCCAAACTTTGTCTTCTCTGTCACATACTCCTTCCATTCTAGAATGTTAAACGATTTTTTCATTTACAATATTTAAAAAAATAATAATAATTTTTTTTATATTTTAAAAGAGATAAATATTTTTTATTTTAGTTTTGTAATTAATTATCTTTTAACTTCAATCATCTATTCTAACATTAAAAAAGTTTTTATTTTTATTTTTATTTTTTAAGATAAAATAGATAAAAATAATTTTTTTGATTCTTTATTTTAAAGACAAAATTATAAAAATCAACACTCTTTGTCTCAAAATAATTATTTTTTAAAAAAATTTAGAAATAATAATTGTATTCACTTATAATATCCTTGAAAGAGAAATAAAAAATAAAAAAAGCTTTTTGTAATTTGATGATTAAATAAATAAATAAATAAATAATAGAATTAAAATAAAAAATATTTATTTTTTTTTAAAAATAAAAAATAATAATTAAATTAAATTAAGTTTAAAATTAAAAAATAACAATTATTTTGAAATACCGAGCAATATTATTTTGGGATTGAGGAAGGAATTGCTCTTTAGAAATGCTGCCGCCTCTGCCTACCAAATCAAGTATTTTATACTTTGGAATATGTCATCCACAATTCACAAAGTCTTCCCAAGCCTGAATTATAGGGACCCATTAGCTGATATCACATTCCTCAAAATCCCCCACTTCTAAGTGTTCCATTGAGAGTGATAGTTTGCAAATAGGGAAGTACGTTAGGTGAATGTCACAAACTTGCATATATAAGCATTACTTTGTGTCTTCGCAAGTTGCAAAGTCAATGCCTAATTTTGTTGTGTTCCTCAAGAAATGGTTCTACCCTCTCTTTATTCATGTGCTTATGTTCTTTATTCATGTGCCCGTGTGCTTTGCTTTAGTCGTTTTCTTGCTTTGTAACCTTACCAACTGACTTGGCACCCAAATTTTGGCCTCCCATGGCATCTTGTTAATTACTTTTTCTTCTGAAGAAAATCACTAGAGTATACTTTTGTAGCACTTGGCAGAATTTTACATTTTGGTTGAAGTCAACCTACAATAATTGGAAGCAACATTTCTCTCTGCTTCAGAGATTGGCAACCTCTCTTGAAATTAATTGCAGTTTAGAAATATAATTGCAATACAACAATCATTTTCAACTCTTGATCAAAAAAGAAATTTTATGAACATGAGTGAATTTACAGTCATTTCTTATTGTATCTTCACAGACTTCACATGAATTTGCTTTAATTGTTTTTGTTTCCATTATACTCATATATACCTCCAGTTTGCAAAATATATCATTACCATGAGCAGAATATCACAATGTTTCCCATTCCTTCCCCCTTTGAAATTTTATGGTCTAAACAAAACAATGGGTACTGATTGTTTTTTTTTGCCATTTCCCATGGGCTGGGGGATTTATGGGTACTGTTCTTTCTCAGTTTCATTCCCCAAGTTATACCATCAAATAGACTGTAATTTATTTTTCATTCTCTGCACCAAGCAGGCAGCCCCATCATTTCCTTTGCTAGTTGTGCGTTTTAGAGTATAGTTCAACTAAGGAATAATTACAGCTCTCTGTAGATCTTTTTAAATATTCAGCTTATGGTGAATATTCTTGCTTAGAGAACATTCCACTAAACTGATTGGATCATCATTTCATTTCGTTTGCTAATTACATTTATGAACTCATTAGAGAACACATGATTTTGATTTGATTTATGTTATTGAGTATTAGCTTTTGGTTTCCTTTGTTTACCTCATATCTTTTGTCAAGAATGTTTGAAGTCTGGTTGTGCACTACTTGTTCTTAGCACTCACCAGTCATTTCAGCTTAGAATCATCAAAGACATATAACAAGTTGCTTGGTTAGTGCTTCCCAAAGACATATATGCATTGATCTGAAAAGCATGCATAAAAAGATTTGTGGGCTCTCCCACTAAGAAAAAGAGCTCTCCTTTCCCTTGAACAATGGAAAACCGATTATTTTGTCTATTTGGTCTTGGCTAATCGCACATGATTGGGCGCTTCTTTCCCTTTAGAATCTAATAGGCAGAACAGTAAAAGTGACACTTCCTTCTGTTATAGTTGTTTCTTTCCCTTCTGCTTGCCGTTGCTTTGATTAACAAAGTCATCATGGACAAACACAAATTGACAAGAAAACTTTGCAAACACAAGACCCCACAACACAAGATACTATTAGATTTTCATATATATATAAAGAAAAAGAAAAAAGGATACCATTAGATTTGCACAATAAGTCCATTTAGTTGATACACACCCACTTTGACACACAACATACTCAACTTGTGTTTGAATATTCTAAACACAAGACTTAGATCTGAATTCTGACACTCGGATTATACATTCTTATTCATGTTATTTGCAGTACTTAATTATCAACCTCTTGGTGGGGAACAGGGTGGAGCCCTTCTGAAAGAAGAGTTCTAGGTTTGAATCTTTGCAAACTCCAGGGTTTTCTTGCCTTGCAGCTTGTTGGTTACGTAATGTTTACTATACTCTCCATGATTGTATCTTCTGTATTTGCATGGATTGTTCTCATCCACCATTTCTGGCATTGGACCAAGTTCTACTTCATAGCTAGGAGCATAAAAAGTGACAATGGAGAGACGGTCTATTTCTCTGTGAGTAACTGCTCTATGCTCCACACTTTTGTATCTTCCATTTGTCAGAACCTGTGAAAAGGATTTAGAAAGAACAAACAATCATAAGAAAAAGAAAAATGTTGGGATTATGGTTCAGGTTTCTTACTTCTATGGTGTCACCGATGTTGATAACTAGTGCGTTTGGAATAGGCTGAACAGGCACCCATGTGTTATCCTTTAGGATTTGGAGTCCCACTGAGCCACCCTTTACCTGCTGCAAAACTGTGAGGGCACTTCCATCTGAATGGGGACTGAGGCCTAAAACAAGGTCAGGTCTAGGACATGGTGGGTAGTAGTTCATCCTTACAGCCTGCACAGCTGTGCCAAACATTTCTTCAAAAACATCCCCTTTCAAGTCAAGGGTCATGGCTATATATTTTAGCAGACTCTCGCACAGTTTCCTTATTTCTCTTGAATAAACCTCCACGGTTTCACTGAAGACCAGAAAAGTAGCAATTACTTAAGGAAACTGACTATTGAATGTTTTCAGTTTGAGTTTGATAGCATAATTACCTGAGTCCAGCTGGTTTTTTAGGCCATAGTTTTGGAATTCTAATGGAGTGAGGCTCAAGCCCAAGGGCAAACATGTTGCACCAGTCCAGCTTCTGGTCCTCCGAGAACACAAAAGCCTGTCCATACCCCTGCACCGTCCCTGGCAGCATTGGATATTTCTTTTTCTCCTCTAAAGGTAACATGAAGAAATCCTTGGCCACCTTTTCTATTCCCTCAAGCAAACTCAGGTCAATCTCATGGTTCACCACCTGAAAAATGTTATCAAAGATTAGTTCCCATTAATATTTTCACACAAAAATATATAATACAAGGATAAGTACATTTATTACCTGAAAAAATCCCCAGTCCTCACAGGCTGTCCTGAGTTTAGAAACTTCATCATATTGTTCATCTTTGTTGCCTTTTATGAGCTTAGAGAAGTTGATAACAGGAATGTCCCTCGATGATGACAGAACCATGGGTTCTGGTCTCTCAGCCCTGTTGCGGACAAATCTTTCTGGAATTGTTGTTGGTTTTTCCTTTCTCAGTTCCTGGACATCATCAATATGCCCAACCTTGATAGGAGAGAGAGGCACTGGAGCCATGGAAACCACTTGTAACTACCAAATATACTAATATCTGGTCAGGTTTATTTGGAAGCTCTCCTCTAGGGTGAGCCTATATTTATAGATGGAGAAACTAAACATTTGCCATTGCTGTGTTGTGTGGGGGACCATTTTATGCACTTTATAATTAAAATCATTGATGATTTTTAACCTTTTACTCCAAGAAGATTTACTAAAAAATTTCTCTGAGATTAAGCAAGAATTAGAATAAGAATAGAGAACAGTCCTTAGCAATAGCATTCAAGCGAATCAAAACTCCTCCTTTTCAGCATCATGGCTTAAATAGTGTTGAAATGCATTGAATTTGAAGGTCCAATCCTATGAAACAAAGTCTGAAAATCTTCATTAGGCACCCTCTTAGTTTTCAGCATGATAACATTGAATTCATTCGACCATGCTTCTTATAGACCCTTTTAACACAACACATTATCTAAAAATGTAAATTTAATTAATTTTACAAAATTTAATTAATATTTAATATATATTAAAAAAAAACAAAACAAAAAAAAAACAAAAACAACAACAACAATAACAACTTATGACTACAATATGGTACGGTACAGCACATAAACACAAGGGTATAGACAAACTCTGCTTATCCAAAAAAGGAAGGGTTCGAGATATTAATAGCTTTGTCTAACTTAAGGGGCATCAATTTCCTTACTTGTGGACCTACCCTACTTTTCTCTTTATAGATTAACATGTGTAGCTGCTTTGAAAATCCGCGTGAAGTAGAACAGTCTCAGTTTCAAAATCACATCTTATCCAAGTCATGTTGAAAGGGTTGTCTGGGCCCAATTGTCCCTTGATATGCACTTAGGTAAAGGGTCTCATTGCATTTAAATAGCTGCCCAAAAGGTTCATTGCATTTAATTTTTCTTGGTCTGTCAGGGGGTAACTCTCCCCTTCTCAGACCCCTTCTTACCTATCTCATAATTCAAACTATAAACAACTTATGAATGTTGATTATAAATGTAAAGATAACACATAGATAAAAAGGGATACTTCTTTGATTTGTTCATTAACAAGGAAAATCTCACATTAGTGACTTAAAGGGAAACTTAGGGATTTAAATACAACATGGACTACATCTATTAACAATCAGTTTTATGTTGGAAGTTAACGTAGTATCAAAACCTAGTAAACCTGACGGTGAGCACTGCCGGTGTGTGCAAGTTAGCTACTAATGAACATAAACATATATTAGAATTCCTCTATGAATTTGACTGCTTATCTCTCATCATCTTAGAGGATAAACTGTCAAATAAAAGAAGTGATTTCAATTTTGAAGGGCACAAAATAGAATCTAGTAGTGGTTAATTGCAAATTTTGATTGTCTTACATGGCAGACTTTGTTGAGTGCTGATAGTACTAGTAGGGGCCATTCCTAAATTGCCTGCAGAGTGTCTCCATTTTTGCAGACCAGGACTAGTGATGTTGCTGTCATTCATTTGCACTCCCTTCTATCCCATTCTCTCTGTTTTCTAAATTAGATCCCCTAAAAGCGTCCGCACCATGATCATCTGATGTAGATGAGTTTGATTTGGGTGCTCTACACCTCTGAGGCAAAGAAATGTTTCATGTTCAAATGAATATGTATAAACTGACTGCAAAGTCTGATGGTTAGATAAGTGAAGAAACACAACTTACACACTACGGTGAGATTTTCCACTGTAGCTGTTAACTAATAGGAAGATGGAACTTTGTTTTATACTCCAAATTGCATTGAATTGTAAAACAGGAATCATTAGATATTGGAAATTGGGGGTTAAAAAATAGATCATTGGCTTCAAGACATGTTGCAAACGCCACTTTCCTTTGGGTTAATTCCCCCTACCAGATCTAGTATGCAAAAAGGAGTAAACTGAAATACCTATAGATATAATGAAGCACCTTATTGATCTTGCCTTTGCACTAGCAAAATCAACCACTAAACTGTTCTTTGGAGAGTGACAAAACAATAGTTTTGTACAAGAATTTTTGCAACAATCATAGTACAAAAAGGAGTTGTTTTATTTAGATAATAATAAAGATTTGTTTTTGTGTTCAAGAAAACAAGAAAAAGAAGAGATAACTCTATATTTATAGGAGCAAGATGTCTATTGAGAACAAACACTCCTCTCTAGTTTATCAATTGAAAATATTTGAATTTTTGTTAAGTTTATCTGTTGAAAACTCTTTCAAAAGTCATTTGGTTTGATCTGAATTGATTTAAATTACAAATCACGTGTTTCCTTACCTTCCAAAATTATCCACTCTTCCTTGACGAATTTATCATAATTCTATCTTTTATTTCTAACGTAAATAGTTCGAAACATATAAATGTGGGTTGAACCAAAATCGTACTTTTGGAATTTTGATCTTACGTAAACAATTCAAAACATATTTATATGATTTGAACCAAAATCATACTTTTTCAAATGTATTCTATGCAATTACTTCAAACCAATTTTTTATAATTCAAATCCAAATCTTGGAATTATTTTGAAAATTCTTCAACATTGGAAGGACTCACAATATCAGAGAATCCAACTTCCATCCAATAATTAATGTTGTGTAACTTAATACACTTTGAATTATACAACACTTTTTCCTAAGAAGAAACCCTACGTGGAAAAATGTCATTATCAATAAAGGGAAAAAAAATAATAGGTTGGTAAAAGTTATTGTCACGGACAGTAACAGACCCAAAGGACAATCTTACAAATGGGCATCTATGCAAGCATGTCTATGAATGTGTTTTTCGAGCCGGTGAATAAAGAAACATGAATTTCATTCTCCACAATCTATTCCCCCATAAAGCCAATGCAATCTTTGCCCACGAACAAGCTAACAGCAAGCTCTATTTCCTCTCTCTTAAACTCGCAACATTTTAAAACCTTACAACTTAGAAGCTCTTTCATGTTAAGTAGCATGCATCTGAAAGGGGATGCAAAATGCATGTCAACAATCGTCTCCAAAGCACTATTCTGTTTCCTACCAAGCCACTGTCAGCTACATCCAGTGTTAACTGCAACTATAAAGTCTTGGAGATAAAAAATGAGCTAACAATTTTTATAGTTTTCCTTTTTAGGTGTTGGAAATTGGGGTTAGAAAATAAATCATTGGCTTCAGAGTGTGCTATAAGTATTGCTTTCTTATAAGCTAATTTTGACCCCACCAAATTTGGTATGCAAAAAGAAGTAAACTAAAATACCCATATGATACAATGAGATGCCTTGTTGATCTTGCCTTTGCACTAGCAAGATCAACCACTTAACTGACCTTTGAAAAGTGACAAAATAATAGTTTTTGTACATGGATTTATGCAACAATTGTAGTACAAAAATAGACTGTTTTATTTAGATAATAGTAGGGATTTGTTTCTATATTCAAGAGACTCTGAAAAAAAAAAGAGATAACTCCATATTTATAGAGACAAGATGTCTGTTGGGAATAAATGCTCCTTTTCAATTAAGTTCATCCATAGGAGACTTTTTCAAAAATCATTTGGTTTAATTTGAATTTCAACTCACGTGTTTCTTTGCGTTCCAAAGTTATCTAGTCTTTCTTGAGAATTTTATCAGATTCTTTCTTTTATTTCTGACGTAAATTATTCAAATCATATAAATGTGATTCAAACCAAAATCGTACTTTTAAAATTTTGATTTTACATAAACAAATCAAATCATAATTATATAATTTGAACTAAAGTTATGCTTTCTCAAAAGCATTTTTTACAATTGCTTCGAACCAACTTTTTATAGTTCAATCCCAAATCCTGGAACTATTTTGAAAATTTCCCAACATTAGATTTGGTATTTTTTCCTTTCGGCAAGGGGGGGAGATGGGAAAGCGGACAAAGGAGAGGGGAGGGGGATGTTCTCATGCATTCGGGAAAAACCAGATATCCACTTTCAGTTGAAATACTCAAATATTTTTCATGACTGTTCATGAAGGAAAAAGATTGCAGAGCCAAATCCACCAGCAATTTAAGTGAAAGAAAATAAGAAGAGACAACTAGCAGGGGAAAATGAAATACATAAAGAATCCTCCAGGGCATTTGCAATCCTCCTAGGTTGTCTTTCTCTTGGTTACTGACAAGAAAAACAAAAAGGGTAATAAAAGTCTAGAATCCAATTGAAACATAAGGATGCACCATCATAACAACCAAAAAATGTAAGAAAGATAACAGATCAATTAGGGTAATATTCAATGGGTTCGTTGTTTTGCATTACAACCTGCATTAGCCTGTAAAAGCAAAGCTTTTAAATGAGAAGGAAGGCCTAATATTAGGGGACCTCCCCAATTTAAGAGTAACTATTTTGTAATCCATTATATTCTAGATTGCAAAATAATTTTTCAATATTCAATTAGAAGTTTTATAGTAATTTTCCAAAATATAGTACAATATCCAAAAATTACACACCTAAAGATACAGAACACTTCATCCCCAAACAATTTAATATGTTTGAGTTGAGAGGAATGGAGAGGAAAGAAAAAAATTTTGATATTTGATTATCAAAAGAATTGGAGGAGAAGGGAAGAGAAGAATTTTCTTGACTTTATTTTTTTTCTAATTTATTTATTTATCCAAGTGAGGGGAGAAGGAGATAAGAATGTAGGGGAGTAGATGGAAAAAGTTCTCTTCCTCTCTATTCCCCTCAATCCAAACATACGGTTTACAAAAGAAAACCTCAAGCTTGAAAATTCTAGAATCATGCAGCAGACCTTCCGAAAGAATACAATTTTCTATACCAATGAATTTTTCAATAAATTGTAAGGCAAACAGAAATCTCCTAAAAGATAAATTGATCAGCAATAATCAGTTTATCCGTATTCAACCTCCTCAAAAAGGTTGCCTAATGATTTCTAATCTCTATAACCCTTTTTCCTCAGGCCCAAAAACAATGGGGCCAAAAAATAAAATGGAACTCACTTCTTGTAAAGAAGTCCAAATCTATTGCCGAACAAGCTAGAACTCCATCCATCTTTTGCCACCCCAAAACTTAAGAAGCATTTTGGCCCTGACCACTGTCAAGAAGGTGAAAATTCAAAATACACACTACAAAACTAGCAAATCAATCTCATTTTGTACACATGTACATAGAAGTGAGGTACTGTTGGTGATCCACCTCCTTGTGATTCCCACCACACTTTCTTCTCCCATGCACTATGTGGATCTAAACCAGAAAACATAATATATACAGGGGTAACATAGTCTCTAGCACCACCTAAAACCACAACGTCTTATGGCCTCTTTAGCAAGCTCAACCAGACATATCAGTCCCTCTACATCTTGGAAGCTGAAATCAATTGCCTTTCTAACTGCAGTAACACACTCCATTTTTTGAGCCTCTTCCAGGATTAACTTTGCAGCTTCAAAAGCATTATGGGATTTTGTTGAGGCCTCCATCGCAAAATTTACATCCTGTGTCTGCAATAGACATGTATTAATATATTTTCGCTCTAGAAATAACTCATTAGTGAACAGATTCTCAGATACAGGACAATACCAAGGTAACAAGAGTTTAAAACTAGGTGCCACCATGATCACAAGTGAGCAAACCATGAACTATCTACTTATGACATCACTTTGAGTAGGATCTGCAGACAAGCCTGAAGTCTAAGTTTTTATTTGTAAAACAACTGCTGCTATTTTAAGGTTCATCATTTCCCAATTGAAATCCACAACATGACAGGCAGTAATTAAGAAAACCAAGCCAACCAGCATTCGTCCACCAACACCCAGACCATGGACTTCAATGTACATAAATTATAAGTGTAGACATGATAACAACCCATGATAGCAAACGAACTCTAGTCTAGGTTAGAACAACATAAATATCATTACAGTGGCTAGCCTTCTGGTTGGTGATATTTCTGACACTTTATTATCTTCTATATCATCCTCTCATTTCGCCTATTAACTATGACCACTCCAGCTTCAAATAAACACACACTTGACACAACATATACACACATGCACACACGTAAAATATACATACAAAAACATATACACACACACATTTGAAGACGACCATGCATCTAGCTAGGTGTCTGACTGTGCATGTTCTTAAACAAAGTACCTTTTATGGGATGGTATCCAAAGTGGAGGATACTCAACATAAAGGTAACAGCCAAGCTGCTAAGGGAAATTACATAAAATCTGAGAGTAAGGGGAAAAAAAAAAGGAAAGATTGAGACCACCAGGTTGAATCAACTTACAAAGTCAAGCAGACGAACAAAACTTGGTCGGTTTCTAGGAACAACAGTGTAGGTTCCAGAAGCACGTGAAACAGTACACTTGGACAGTGTGGCCTTCTCTGCTATTGCTTGATTATTTAAATTATCAATATCTGACACAGAGGACGAGGGAGATTCACCTGAGGAACAATCCAAAAATATGGCCTCAGATACTTCTTCTTTGTGCAATAGGAGAAAATTCAAGTTATAATGCTATCCTAATGAAAAATATATATATTTAATAAAATCTTGCCACCAAGTCATATGGAAGAACTTAAGGCTCTAAATTGAGTAGAGGTTAGTAGGAATGATACCCTAAACAAACATAGCAATTGGCAACAAGCAATGGAGTCAAAAACAGCTGAATCAGCAATATGAAACCTAAAAGCACTTTTGATAATGGAAAAGGAGTAAGATATAACATTCATTAGGGAAAATATAAATGACATCACTTATCTCAAGCAATTAAAAACTAAAAAATATACATCCTGAAGCAGAAGGCACATCATCTAGAGGTAAGTGCAACTAATGATTGAAAGGGAAACAAGAATGAGCATACACCTATGTAATGACTTCACGATATTACCTTGAGGAACCATAGATATGGTTGCTTGCAACTCGTTTCTGTCCCTGTTGCTAGCAGAATGTTTACAGAAAACCATCCTCATATATGCCACCTCCATGCATTTATAGGCCAAGGCGGCAGCAGCCATTTCTTTGGATTTTTCATATTGTTGGCCACAGCTCCTATAAACTTGAGAAGTTTAGTATAAAGAGAATCGTAGGAGTGTAAGATGCAAAATTAATCTTAAAACAAACCATGTTGCAGGATTGTACACAGCAAGATGCTCCAAAATGGTAAAGCAATAAAAGAACTCACAAGCCAGAAGATTGTGTAAATTACAGAAACAAGAAAAGGTAACGACTTTCTAGTGAAATAGAAGAAATCTTTGACAACAAGTCTGAGATCACAGCTCAAAGCTTTCAAAGCAGCCAGTCATCCAAAACAGATAGGTTAGAAATGAAAGTTAAATTTTCTAATACTATTATATTAACCAGAAAAAAGTTAGAGGTGGATTCCTAACTATATTTCCACTTTCCAGCCATCAAATGCATCACCAATCTCTCAAATTAACAAAATTTAAATGAAGGATAAAAAGAAGAAAAAGAGTTGCCTAATTACATAAGAAGCACCAACTTAAATGATAACATTGTGCAGAACAGAAAGTGAATGATGCAGTGATTTTAGCTGTCTATACATGCAGCAGATTATTCTGGGTAAGCTCACAATAAAGGAGCATCTACTCTGTATGACTATATTAATCTACATAGACCTCGAACAAAAAGGAACAAGAAGTTTTCCAAAACACATTAAAAGAGTGTAATAACACAACAGATAAACCAGATACTAGTTTCCCACTTAATTGCAGGTTTCAACCATTTAACAGTACAGTGGATGGGATAGTACATTTATCTTCAAAGAAGAGTTCACATTGAGGTTAGACACGGAGGTTGGTTGATTAGATTTGTTCATAAAATTGAATCCATATTTTGGTTCAGTTACACATCAAACCCTGCACACAAGCAATGATTCAGGTGGGTTGAGATTAGCTTCTCTTTGATCAAGCACAGAGCAACAGGATGAATAAAAAAAAAAAAAAGTTTAGTTGTCAGTAATAGCTCAATGTAGATGGAACAAAGGAAACATCTCAACTATGTCACATGAAAGAACAGTCTTCCGGAAATCTTTGAAAACTTTACTTACTTGCAAAGTCTAGCAGCAGTGCTATATGCTTGCATTTGATTTATCTCCCAGTGTGCGCCATTCTCACCATTGCTAGTCTCCAGAAGTGAAGCACTATGAAGAAACTTAAGCGCAGCTTGGAAGAACACCTCATTACTTTCAAAACCAAAACTAGAGGTCTGAAAGAAGGCCAGCGAAACCACTGCAAGTGTTAGGACAAAACAAAAGTTCTTTCCCTTTTTCTTTTTTTTTTTTTTTAAAAAATGTCAAAGCAAATGTAAAAAGAAACCTCAAGAAGTTCAGCATAGTCTTTTAGATCTTTAGCTTCTTTAAGGGCATCAGTTGCTGTCTGGCCAGAGGGATTCATTCTCCCAGGACTTGGCATGTTAGCACTTCTCATGACATGCAGATTAGGTAAGCTCTGCTCCACATTGTGGTGGTGAGCTTGACTCTTGGTACCATCATGTGCAGGCAGTTTTAACAACAACTTTGGTGACTCACTGTTTCCTGGAAACCCATCAAATACAACTCCCTGGTGAGCCTGCAGTAATGTTCCATGATCCTCTATTTCTTGCTTAGTTTCAATTTCACAATGTGAGAAAGATTTTGGTACTAAGCCTCTTGAATCCAGTTGTGTTACTTTGCTTTCACCACCAAAATCCTGGACAAGGTTTTGCTGGGAAAAAATCTTCTGATCTGTGCTGCATGTAACAACTGATTTTGCATCCAATTCCTCATGCTCTTTTGCTCTTGATTGGTTTTCCATTCTACAATCACCTGACAACCATCCTAGAGAATTCTTCACCCCAACTTTGTTGTTCTTCAGAGCCTTGCTAGATTTAGTGCCAGAATTATTGACCATACTGCATTTATTTTCACCCGCTGCTCCGGGAAGATGTGGTTGACCCTTTGGGTCAGTTTCTAATCCATATCTTGAGCTCTTCCTAGGATGCAAATCTTCATGTTCATTGACCATGTTATATGCCATCTTATCTGACACTGAACTTCTTTCAGTGCCCTTGGACTGTGAAGCAGAATCCCTACGAGATCCTTGGGGAAACAACTCATTGTCATCATAATCATAAATCTTCTTGACTCTATCCTCATGATGGGAATGCTCTGTAGCATGCTGGTCCCTAAGGCTCAGTACATTTTCAGTGGCATAAATATCACCATTAGTTAAACAGCCATTTTCAACTCCAGAATAAGGCATAGATTTGATGAAAATTGTGTGACTAGCATCTCTATCCCAGCAATCCAGTTTTGAAACTTTATGAGATAATTTCTCCTCCCTTTCCACCCCAGGCTGACCAAGATTACCAGTACTTTCCCCATCCCAATTTCTTCTCCCGTTGCCACTTCCATGAACATCACCATCAACGGTGTCACCTCTGCCTGAAGTGTCTCCTGCTGATGTAAGCTTTTCAAGATATGGGATCCTCATGGGAGACGATGACACTGATTCTACAGGGGAACCCTTTAGTGCTTCAAAGTTTGCTCTGGTTTTATGAGGGCCTGAAACCTTTGATGAGCTTGACGCAGCTGCCATGGAAACTTGTCTGGTAACAGAATGCCTTCTTGATGAAGCTAGGCCATCTAAATTTTTTTGAGAAGCATTCTTTCTTCTATACTTTGATATTTGATGTGCCTTATTGATACTTCTAACTTCTCCTGCACCATCAACTGAATTGTCTCTAGCTTTTCTGTTTGAAATATCATTTGCATCATTTCTATGAGAATGCTTCACCTCATTCTTTGAAACCAGTGTCTTTTCTTTTTGAGATCCAATCTCACTATTTTCCTCCTCTATATGTAACCCATGCCCATTCTGACTTTCTTGCCAGCCTTTCAGTTTCCTTTTCTTCCCCAGATTGTCTGTTCTATTAGGCATTCTTGCATCCAAACCAGTTGCTGAGGCCTGAATCTGGTTTGCAAGTTTCTTTACAGAAGCTACAGGTCTTTCCTTCACCTCACCCTTGAGGTCCTCAGAATTAGAGCATTCATTGTATTTCTGTCTTCCCTTTACATTTGCCTGAGGTGGCAGTGCAGTACTATTAAGACCCAACCTGAACAGATTAGAGTCAGAATTGTGTTGTTTATCAGCAGAGTAAATCTCTTCATATTTGTTTTTCTTTGAACCTTCAAATGCGTAGTGATCAGGTTCCCTCTTAGTTTTCAATTTCATCTTTATTTGCTTTGACTCACCTACAGATATGTAAAAGGAAGTGCTTCAATAATTCCATTTTAAAAATCCATGGCCAGGAAAAGTTTCAATTCTAATTCTGAAAAGTGCACTTAATACCTTCAACTGCAAGTTTTTCTTTCTGTTGAAAACTAGATTTCCTCATGGCATTTGATTCCACAGGTAACCGTGTCCTGCCATTTAAGTTTCTGCTAAGTTGGCTTTTTGTGGGCTTTGACATCTGAGTCAGTCCACAGATGCTGCCAGCTTTTGCAATTTCCTTCAGACCATGTTCCTTTTTTACTCGAAGAGACTGAGAAGGTAAACCTGAGTTGTTAAGGCCTTGATCCTGAAGACAAGCTGTAGTATGTAATGACAGAGCTCCACTTCCATTATTTTGCAGATGATTTTGACTCTCAGAAAATAGAATCTGGTTATATGCATTAACAGCTTGTGTTGTCTCGTCCTCACTAATATCACAATTGTTCATTCGAGGCCTATAAAAATAAAACAATTTCAAAAGCATGAAAAGTCAGAAAGGAAGGATGAATACAGGCATCTGTCTGTAGATCAAGTAGGTATTTATGTAAGCACATACTTTAGAATGACATATTCATGAAAGAAATATGCATATGCAGGTGTGTGTACTTGTTTATGGATCCATGAACAGTAAGCATGATAGAATAGATGAACAAGAGACACAAATATGTAACAGGAACATTATTTGAAGTTCAGCTGAAGTTTCACCTGAGATTTATGTATAAGAGAGACTACATAGCATCTTACGCTGAGAAACTAAAATTTGAGTAAAAAACTTACAGCCAATCAAGCATGCTACACAACCACTTCTCAGGGAGTTGGTCTGCCTTTTTACCATGGGGTAAAAGCCGCCACTTTTGACATCTGTCACAACCAACCCAATATTCATTGACAATTGGTGGAGCCAATGCTGGTGGTGCACCCTCAGAGGCAAGTGCATTTTCTGCAACACAAGGAACCACAGATGGAGCATCTTTTGCAGATGCTCCAAATAGATTGTTGTCAACTTGTGCACCACTTAATGTTTCCTTTTGATTCTTTGTATATGTACTCTGTTCTGTATCAAAATTAACAAGAACAGCATCCTTTGGCCTACTACAAAACTGTCTCTCCAATGGATCCATTATGTCACCTTTCCGTTGAATCTGTTTATAGTTTGTAGCCAAAGAATCTCTACTATTATTTCTGACCATATTAATGTCTTTCTTCAACTTCAACTTATGCATCGTACTTTTTCTTAAAATGGCACCATGGCTAAGAGTGATGTTATCCTTCATTGAAACAGCAGCCTTTCCTGAACTTTGGTTACCTTTTGATTTGATATTTCCCTCAGACATTGTCTTTTCCTTCTCAAGGGGCAAATTTATTTCATCCTGCATATGAAATGCAGCTTTTGTGCTAACCTTTTCTCTCCAATCTTCCTTACATTTTGAAGGAGCAGAAGTTCTGTGAGCTCTACCCCTGCCATTGTCCCCAAGCTCGAGTGAGACATTCTTATTCAAATTTTCTACACTCTGTTCCAACCCCCCTTCACCTGAACAACTCCGAAACTTCCACCTTTTACTCTGGCCACCATCCACACCAGCTATTGACTCCAAAGAGTCTGCCTTTGCTAGGTTAGAGTGAAATAATTGATCTCTTATCCCATCATTGTTGGTCTCCATGGAAACTTCAGAAGTTCTAGCAGTTGATTCCAGAGGATCAGCAATATTTAAGTCATTAGCCAAAATGACCTTGCCTCCTCTGACAATTTCTGACTTTTTGTTCACAAGCAATATCTTGTCATCCACAACATTAATACCATTTTTGTGCTTTCGCTCTACCAGCTTCTCAATTTTTTCATTAAATTTTGCTTTCTTCTCAGCTAATGGTTTTCCCTTTATCAAAATAGGTTCATTCAATAAGCAGGCAGAACGTTCTTGACCATCATCAAGAGAAGGTATATGTTTATTGTCTCTGTATGGTCTTTCTTTTTCCTTTTTGAACAAGAAAAGCAAACTTTCATGCAAAGGGGATACAAGTTCACCACTGGGAACTTGGGAAGAAGTCATGACCTGTTTAATCACAAGATATTACCAGATCCTTCTTAGTTCATGTACTGACCCCAGAAACCAGAATCCATAGGAACAAAGAGAAAACATCTACCTGAAGAATGCTACTTGGTGATTCACTCATAGTCTCTTGATGTATGCTTGGTATTGCTCCACTTTCTTCTGGATTGTTCCCCAATGATGAAGATGGAGAATCATCAAGACCAAGCCCACTATAAATTGCTGCCTTTCTAGATTTAGTATCAGGTACTTTGATTCGGAACTTCAGTGAGTTCTGCTCAGCTGGAATCTTTGATCTGTTCAAAGTTTCCCCCTTTAGGCTAGGCTTGTCGGTAGCTTGAGTGAATAAATCTTGCCTAGCTGAAAAACTCTGGGAAGTATTCCCATTCCTCCCAGTCAGAGTTGCATGTCGAGGAGCTTTCGAATTCAGGGAGGCACCCTGTATGGTAACACAACCAATAGTGATGAAGTAAACTAGAATCCCTACACTGTCAAAGTGTTGGTGACATCCTTCAAAGAAACAACCTAAAGACAACACGTAAAAATTTCCATTTACCTCCAAAGGAAGATTGTTAGGAGATCTTGGTGTGGTGTAGTTTTTCTCTACTGTCTTTGGACGTGACAAAATTGAAGGAGAGCGTTCATAGGTTGGCAAAAAGGAGCCATACCCACCAAATTTTGCACCTTAAAAAAAAAAAATTCAAAGTCCATCCATCATTTTCAAATGCAAGAAAGCTGAGCTTGCATCATTATTTAAAGCTAACAACTTCCATTAAGAACCACGTACCCAAATTTTCAGCAGAAACCCCACCTTCAAAATCTTTTTGGAAATGGCCCAAGACACTCTGGAGCCTCTCATCCTTCAAAAATGAAAATAAAATTTAATAACAACAAAATGTGCAGAGTTGTGAGAAATAACATTGGTTAAAACTGCAAAGTAGACAGAGTTAAAACTATAATAGGCATTATGAGACTAGGCTTCTCAGTATTCAGATTCCAGAAGTCCCTTCTTTTTAAGGGTCAATATCTGAGCTCGATAATTTTTCTTATGTACAGCAAATACATACTATTAAAAGGACTAAAAAAAATTATTCAAGCGTAATCATATTCAGAAGTACCCATCCTGAACCTCAAAAGTTAAGTGAGTTTTAAAAGAATCCTATTGAGGCATTTTAACTTATAGGTCAAAAGGTATCCGGTGTAAAACCATATTCAAAAAGAAATTGAGGACATTAAAATTTCTATAGTTTCCCTTGATTTCTCTGACAATGTACCAACAAATTGTTAGAAGGAAAGCTAACCAGCTTCAGAATTCTATCATCTTTCCCACGTAATGGAGAAGGAAAACTTTGATTTAACGTGTCTTCACCATTAACACTTAGCTAAGGTCAAAGCTACTGTCGTGTTACTGGAGGGAACAAAACCAACATATACTTCCAAACATACTTAACATCAATAAAAAACAATCCAGCCAGCATCAAAAAATTATTGAATGATCGTCCACTAGAGGTTTTAAAGTATATACCTCAACTAGAAAAGATAAGTAATTACTCTTCTGAACTTTAGTCTTCCACTTTTTTTACTAAATTTCAAGTTATGAGCAATTAATCAAAGCTAAGCCAAATATTCCTGTGAAAACATGACAAAATACTCTTGTCCACTTACTTTGTGAAGAAATGAAGATCTATATCTTAAAAAATCAACTTGATTTCTACTACGCCATCTAAGGAACAGGACCAAAGTGGCTGAATTCAATTACATTCTGTGAATTTGTTGGAGATATATACAACAACAAAACTCCAATTTAACAGCATCACATAAAATGCATTGTGTACAAAATATAATTAACCATTCTACTTGCTTTTTTAATTCTTGAATAAATTCAAAATCTTATAATTCCAACAAAATTTCCTAACTTCATTAACTCAAGCACAATTTCAAGTTGCCAGAAGAATGCCAAAGAGAAAAATAAACAGATTGAATCTGAATTTTGTTAAACGCAATAAGAAAAACTAACTCTTACAATGTAGGAAAGTGAAATGTCAAGGTCAATGGTGTCATCATCATCTTTAGAATACCAAGCCTCTCCTTCTTCAAGCCCAGAACTTTCTTCCATCTCCACGCCTCAAAACCCTAACCCTCCTACCCACAACACTAAACCCAAAACCCTAATCCCAGCCGCTCCAAGCACCAACCTTCTCTAAAATCCAACATCACACAGAAAATCAAAAGGAAAAAGGGAAACAAAAAAAATCAAAATAAACAATCAAAAAGCGCGAGGCAGAACTTCGAAAACCTAATTCGATTCTCTTAAATCAGAACCAGTCCTGTTAAATCAATAAAGCCCCAATAAAATTAGTGAATTAAATTTTTAATTTTCCTCTCCTTTCGAGAGTGAGGATCAGGGTTGGTTGATCGGAGTGGTAGAGATCGAGTAATCGACCAGCGCCGACTCGAGATTGACTCGGCGGCGTCGCGGTGGTGAGTTCGTGTGGTATTGTTCCGAATCGTTCGCTTGTTCTTGTTGGTCCAGCAGAGGCAGAAAAGCCTGCGCTTTGCGTCGGTTTAATATTTTGATTTGATTTTAATCGTGATTTGATGGAATTTTTTGTTTTCCTTACCATAAAAAGAAGGATTTTTATTCTTTTTCCAATTATTACGGATTATGTTATTATCGCATCTTAATTAATTAAGGTTATTTTTTAATGTAATTATTTATTATATTTGTATATTATAATTTTTTAAAATTTTATATTTTATATTTTTTAATGATTTAAAAATTATAATTATTAATCAAAATAAATAAATATATACATTAATAATTAACGGTCACAATAACATCACCCAATTATAAGTATGAGAGTAATTTATTACTCAGAGGCATGTTGTTGTCGTTATTTTTTTTTTTTTTAATTTAGTGTAGTGTCTTTTATTTAAAACCTTGAATTTAAGCCACAAAAAATAAAATTATTTACCCATGCATTTAACCCTTCGGGTTCATGTTGGTTTTTTTTCTAAAAATTAAATTAAATCTTGAGGGTACCAAAAGCCTAACATATACTCTCTGTTCAACTTGCTCTAATTTTTTTTTAATAGTTGGATGGTATGACTTTATATTTCTTTTCAATTAATTACTACTTAATACTGTAATTACTTTGTATTATTATAATATATATTATAATTTAACAAAACAAATTTAAATATCAAAGTCAAATAAAATATTAAATAATATCTTAAAAATAAAAAGGATACAATTAATTTTATACCTCCTAAATTAAAAATTAATTCATTACATGGGGGAGAACATAAAGGAATGATATGCCACACACTTTAAAATCTTACAAGTTTCTTGACAATATGAATCCAACTCTTTTCATAGTTATTAATTTGAAGCTAAATGTTAAATCTAAATTACAATACAGTATGAAACCAGCCCTTCTAAATTATTACAAATCATGATGTTGATGTAAGTCATGCATGCAAATTATAGGCAAAAATATAATTACATTAAAAGCCTATTTGGTATAATAGTTTGGAGGCAGTAATTAATGATTTTGTCTAAACTGCTAAGAATAGGTGTTTGATAAATTTATTATTTCAAAATTATTATAAATTAGGTGTTTGGTAAAACTTTTTATTTATCAATTTGGGGCTAACGGATAGTAATTAGGATCTAAACCATCAATGGGTTGAAAAAGCTATTTTAAGTGATTTTTTGTATCAAACTGCTAGTGAATTGAAATTTTTTAATTTTATTGACAAATTCATCTTTTTTAATTTTTTAAATTTTGGTTTTGGTTTTTAATTAGTACTTATTTAATTGGTTTCAACTTTATTTTTTTGTCTTCAATAATATTAACTAATTCTTATATTTTTATTTTTACATTAATTTATCATAAAAAATATATTAGTTTAATTAAACAAAATTTTCTAATTAAATGAAAAGATTAATTTTTTTTATATTTTATTTAAAACTAATATAAATTTTTCTTTATTAAAAATAAAAGTTAGTGCATGATTACACTATTATAATTGATTATTTTTATTTTTATAAAATTAATAATTTTAATAATAAAAAATATAAAAAGAATATAATACATTTAATTATTTTTAAACATGTTCTTATCGATTATTTAATTCTAAACAATAACTGTTAACTATTGTACAACCAAATAGTTATAGTAATTGAATCTGTTATTTATTATCTACTACTTACTTTTCACTATCTACCACTTACTATTCGTTATAATTATCTGTTATCTGCTACCCGCTACCTACTATCCATTATCTACAATTCTAAACATGTCCTAAATAAGAAAAACAATCAATGAACTATTAGTTCAAATAGAAAAAACTTAGTTCTCTCTAAATAAATTCTCGAATTGAAATTTTGTGAATAGATAAAAAGGCGTTGAGAGAGCTTCTCCTTGTAGGTTTTATATGATTTGATTCTAAACTCATTAGGATTTAATATAATTTTTGAATATTAAGAATTTAATATAAAAAAATAATAAGAAGAAGCATACACTATCAACCATAGAGTTTAATGATAGAATTATATGTATTCTTCACTACTACACATCTAAGTTCAATCCATAGTCTTTATGTAAAATAAAAAAAAAATATATAATATTATAAGAACAATAAATCTCTAAATAAAAACTTAATTATATAATTATAAGTGATAATTATAAATTTATAATACTAAATAATATTATAACTATATTGTTTTTGTTTTAAATTAATTTAGGAGATGTATGATTTACAAGCATTTAATACAATGATAAATTTTTTTTAAAATAGTATTTAAATAATGATGTTTTTAGGCTTGGGGTTCAATCAAAATTTTGAAAGAAGCTTGCCTTTTTCCATTGACCCTTTTTAACCATAATTTTATTATTTTCCTGAATTTATTGTTTTTTCCATGCTTGGGATTCTGTTTGTTGTTGGAGCGTGGGGCGCAAGCGCGTGGGACACTTGTAAACAAAGCCGCCTCAGAACGGTGTCGTTTCCTTTTTGCTGCAGTTCGTGTCAACCTGGTAAGACTTGGTGGGTATTTAAGCGTGCGAGAAAATTATAACTACACATAAAATTATAAAATTATAATTATTATATATTATTAAATAAATATATAATAAAATAAATAAAATTTTAAATAAAAACTAATTATATAATAATAAATTACATTATAAATTTATAAAATTATATAATTAATTATTTTCATTCTTAAGTTTGAGAACAACTTCCGAGATGTTTTTACCTGGTGTAAAGAGCATTCACGGGTAAGAGCTTTCGTAGTTTAATAAAAGAAAGATGAAATATGCTTCAATATGTTAAAAGAAAGATTCAATGAGCCATTTGAACAATTTTACGTATTATTGTAATAAATGGAAATGAAAAATTATTTTTAACCAGTGAATCTAATTAATGAGAAAGTTTTGAAGAGCAATGTTACGCTTTTTCAAAATATAAAGGGTGATATTATAGGATAGTTTTTTAATATTATTATTTTTATATAATTTTTAAATATTATTAAATAAATAAATATATTTAATATTATAGGACTTACATAAATAAAAATAATCAATCATGTAAATGATATATAAAATTATACAAAAAAATAAAATAAAAAAATTATTTCAAAATCATTTCCCAAATGTAAATTTTTTTAAGGAAAAAAGTGAGTCACAAAATATATTATAAGATATAAGATACTTTAAATATAAAAACTTTTAACTCATTTTAGACTTAAATTACTATATTTAAAAATTATATTACACCTTAAGTTATGTAGTATTAAGTTTAGTGTCAATTTAATTTAAGTTTAAGATTTAATTTCAGTTATGATTCATAACTTAAATTAAATCTTAAGTATGACCTAAAAATTTAAGGATAATTCGATTTTAAAACGATATATATAAAGTAATAATTAGGAACAATTCATACATCACTGAAGTCAAATGAATCAAGTATCTCAAACTAACCTCAAGTTCAGAAAAATGAACTACGCTTGGATGAGTCTCGGCATGTCTTAAGATTGAGGTGGGTTGGGAGCATTTCTCAAGCCCTCTAAAAATGGCAAAATGCCTTATTCCCAGCAACTATCCTTCCCGTGGGGAGGCAAAAACAGAAAGGAATGCCCTTACTTGTGAATGCAAGGCTATAGACTCCTGCCTTCCTGGTCTAGTCCTAATTGTCTCAATATGGTTAATGTCATTTCGTTTACCCTTTAATAATCTATAGTTTACATTTAAAAAAGTAATTAAATTATTATTAAAATTGAGCTAATAACTTAATGATTTAGGAGTAATTTTCTTTTTTATGAATAACAGATTTTAAATTCAAATTACATGTCATGTTAGTGAAATGAGTGACTTAAAAAATAAAAAAAAATTACCTCATTATACAACACAAGATAAAAAAAATTAAAATTAAATTTTTTGCATTCTTTTGAATTCTAAGAAGTATATAAAAACTCTAAAAGATTAATTTGACTAGTATCTTAAATTGATTAAAAAAATTTATTTTATAATTTAAGCTATTCTAAACGGAAAATATAGACCATTAAATTAGATGTAAATAGCCCTAGTTTTAAAAGACCTACCATATCCAACAATAAATACAATCTATGCCATTCAAATTATACAATATATTTTTTTTTTATCTATTTCATTATTACCATACAAATATTCACAATAAAAATATAAAATTTTATTTTATTGTTTAGATTATTAAATAAAAGAAAACTCTTAACATTATGAAAATTTTTTATTCAATAATTTTAATTATATAATTTTTTTATTTTAGTTATACAATAAAAAACATCTTATTAATTACCCAACCTAAACGCTTACTTTCAGTAAAAAAAAGTTATAACTAAATTATTTATGTTATTAATATTTTAATTATACCGTCTATTATACTTTATAACTTCAAATTATATAACAATTTTTTTCATAACAAAAACACAAAAAAGAAAAAAAGAAAGTAAAAACTAGGTCTTGACATTTGACATTCAATAAAAAAACCCAAATATAGTTGTATACAGTAGGCGAAAAAGAAAAAGGGAAAAATCTGATTCGATCAGATCATTCAGCCACTCTCGATCTTCCAACCCACATTCAATTCCTCAATTATTTTTCCCTCATCTTTTTAGGGTTTCGATTTTTTTAATCCCTTTTAACTCCCCTCCATTTTCACTGATTTTTACGAAAAACAATTTTAGGCTTCCTTAGGGTTTGTACGTACAATTGATTGGGAACTGGCTTTTCGTTATCGTTGGTCTGCATTGGAGGATCAATTTGGGTAATTCGAGTGGCGGATGTATGCTTCGGGCATGGATTCAGCGCGGGAAACCGGCGGAATGCCCAGTGCGGTGCTGATTCCGGTGCAGTTCGTGTGGCCGCATGGCGGGAAGCAAGTGTTTCTTACCGGTTCTTTCAGCAGGTGAGACCTCGACTTTTTAATGTAGATGCTAT